GGATGTTGTACATAGTGAAAACACTTAGTGCAGATAACTTGCATATTTATATTAAAAAAATTGTAGTGGGATTAGAAAATATTGGGTTTAAAATTATTGCTGTTGTCACCGACAATAATTCAAATAATAAAAAGGCTATGTCTCTGTTTTCAGAACCACCTAAAGTTAGTATCGTTTATCCAAATCCTGTTGACAAATCTAGGCCATTGTTTTTATTATTGATACAGTGCATATTTTAAAATGTATTAGAAATAACTGGGTAAATCAAAAAAATAATAATCAGAGTATGTTTTTTCCAAGTTTTGATGATGCTTCACATATTGAAACTGCATCTTTTTCTTGTATTAAAAAATTACATGAATTTGAAACTGGTAAATTATTAAAGTATGCTTATGGTCTGACAATAAAAGCTCTCTATCCAACTAACTTAGAAAAACAAAGTGTAAAGCTTGCATTGCAGATTTTTAATGATAATGTTGTTGAAGCATTGTTTCTTTTGGGCAGCAGAAAGAAATAATAAACTTTCAAGAAACTGGAAAATTTATTAAAATAATAAACACCTGGTGGTCAATTGTAAATGTAAAATCTATTTTTAAAGGGGTTCATAAAATAATATATTTGAAACACCTTTCACTGTGGCAGACAATGATGAAAAAATATTTTTATGAACAAATTTTTTAATTGGTTAGATAGTTGGAAAAATTTGAATTTAGCATCTGGTTCCCTAACCAAAGAAACTCACTTTGCATTATCTCACACACAACATATGCTTTAATTGAGATGTCAAGTTATTGTATAAATGAACTGGGTTTTGAATACCTTTTACTTGGCAAAATACAAACGGATATGTTAGAGGCTAGATTTGGTAAGTATAGGCAACTGGCTGGAGCTCACCATAATATTCAATCAGACAGGTTTATGAAATAAGAGGGTAAATTAAGACTTCAGAGTACTTAACCAACCTTAATAAATTCTTCAAAATTTGGAAAAATTCCTCTTCATATATCAGATTTTAAAGACGCCGAAGAACAAGCTTTTAATGACACTGATGTTCAAACGTTCATAGATGATATAACAGTTGATGATAGTGACATACACGACATAAAATTGGATATACCTATTTTAACATATATAGCTGGATATTGCTGTTACAGTATCCTAAAAAAGTTAAAATGTGATGTATGTAAATCCAGTATTACTATTGATAAGGAGTTAGCTTTGGAAAATGATGAAAATATTCACTCATGGATTAAGGTTTTTGATAGAGGACTAATGTATCCTCATCCTGATATTTTACATGCTGTTATATATAATTTTATTGTTGTGAAGAAACTAATTTCAGACGAATATGAGAAAAATTTTTTTTTCGGCTAATCCACGAGATACAGTGTATAAAATTACTTTAAATGTACTTCATGAAAATTTTTTTTTTGGAACTGAATGACTGTGCAAAACTTCATAACCCTCAGATTATTTTGAAAAATATCATACAATCATCAAAAATTTTTCTAAATAATTACTGCAAAAAGTTAAATGATAATCTTTTAAGCAATAATTTAACTAAGCAACGGAAATTGAAAACATTAAAAAAATAGTTTATGTATGTAGCAGAAATGAAATATGTTATGTGTTTAAGGTACAAAATAAGAGAGTGAAACTAACCTATTTTTTTCTTAATATTTTCAGACTTGTAATTCATTTTTTTAAATGAATATTTTCTGCAGAATGTGTATATATGTTGAATAAAAAAGTGCTTTTTCTATTTGTGTTGTGAAGTCTTTGCCACCTATTCCAAATGCATGCACGCTTACACATAAAAAAAGGGGAAATATTTGCAATTATCATAGAAAAGTGCTAAAGCTCTAAGATCTGTTGCATAATATACTAAGCTTTTTCATCATAAACTAAAGAAATATTCATTTTTGAAGATAAAATACTTTGTCAATTAATATTACTTTCGTTTATATTTTAAAATCAATATCTTGAAATTTTCTAATCTTATTTTAATTGAAACAGACGTGTTTGTTACATTAATTTAAACTGTAAGAAGGAAGTATGTACAATTTGTAGTCAAAATACAATTTCAGATGAATATTTTTATAGATATTTACTAAATATTATTTTCATTTTATTCTATGTTTAATTCTGTCAAAGAAATAAAATTTCTAGAAATATAGTTGTACGTATAATGGGAAAATGCAATCTGATAACTCTAAAAAAAATAAACTAGAATAAAAAAGTACTTTCATTTCTTCCCAGCTGTAAGGCCTCATACATTTGTACTAAGTTATTTTTTCTCAAGGGATTTACTGTAATAAAAGTAAGTAGCATGAAGTTGCCTAAATAAACATTACTCCCCTTTTCTCACTATAATACATGGTGTCCATTTCCTATTATTTCTAGTATAATTGTACTGGTAGAAAAATTTCAGGTAAAAAATAAGTCTTTTTTTTTTTTCAATGCGTTTTGCACCCTAGTTGTGCTACTTTCTTAATAAAGATCTGAAATTATTCTGAAAATTTTAAATCTTACCTTAACACTAAACTCCTTATTCCTTACAAATCTAAAATTCAGGCATTGACTATTTAGATGTTTTAAAAGTTCTGCTGATTATCCTGATAAAAAAAATTCCAGTAAGTGCATATCAATTATACAACTTCATATTTATATTTGCTAAAAAATTCTTAGATAAGTTACAATTAAATGATTTTTAGGAACAAAAATTTATAGTTACAAGAAAATTATTAGTACATATTAAACAAAGGGATGTTACAGACATAAATATAAGAATGAAACTTGAGAATTTTTTGATTCCAAACAAGTGTAAAGTTTGTGGAATTTTTGCAAATTTCCTTTTTTGTTATTGAGAAAGATGCAATTACATATTCTTCAAAAATAGAATCTAATTGAAAAAGCTTAAATTTCTGGAATTTTTTGCCCTGTATTGAAAATTAACACTGATAAATACAATAGAGCCCAATATATGCTCAAAAATGTATTCAAATCATACTCCAGGTTTATTATGTTATGAAATTCATTTACAGTGAAGTGAACAAGATCAAACCGGAAATTACTAAAAAATATGTGTAGCAAATGTTGTTAAAAACTGATATCGCAAAAATAAAACATAATTAATAAATTTAGGATTAGGGATTTTTAGTTTTAATCAACATTATGCATTATTGTTGCCTTTTTATTAAGGCATCAATATTTAGCAAGGGGATAACAATATTTAGTACAATATTAGTTTAACAATATTTAGTAGAGGATATTTAGTGAAATATATATTCAAAAAACAAACCAGCAACAGCCAGATCTTAAACATTTATTTTATTACCACCATCTGAAGTATGTTAAATCAATTTCTGTTCTATTATTTTAAGTGTAAAATTATTTAAGAAAAGGTTAAGATACATATTTGAAATTAGGAAATGCAGTCGATGAAGGGCAAATCGGATATACATATTTATTTATTTAAAACCAAATGATGTAAGCCTTCTGCATGGGGGGGGGACTACGTTTCATTTTCTCTCGTCTTAAGGGAATAACAGCAATAAGTGGCTTCATGTGGCAACCATGCTGTCTGTAGATAAGGACGACTTTAGTGACGTAGTGTCAGCCGTGCCGTGGCTTTGTATATAGGAGGTACTGCTAGAGCATGGATCTTGATTCTAGTACGCAGCTTTACAATTGTATTTTACTGCATTATGTACATTTTCAAGGATTTTTTGATATCTTGAAATAGAATAATATAACAGTTTGATTTTTTAATCAAATGGGGAACGCTTGAAATATAATAATATAACAGTTTGATTTTTTAATCAAATCTGAATCATTTATAATCTTCTTTAAGGCATCTGCTGCTTTCTTGTGAGCCATTAATTGAAAAAGAGAAAAGAAATTACATATTCACTGTATGCTATCAAATTAAAAAATCTGATATTTTTGCTCTAAAAATCAAACATATACCCCCCCCATTTAATAACATTTCAAAAACGAGTTATATTTTTTCCAGACAAAACATAACTGCCTTTTGAAATTCAGCTAAAATATCCATTTTTGGAGTCTTATTAAAAAAAAATTCTATTATTTTTCTTTTGCAATGTTTTTTTTTTTAAATAATTTCTGGGGAGCCTTCCAGAGATGGAAAATGTTTGTGTATTTATATCGTGTAGTTATAAGTAAAAATTTAATTTGATGCTGACTATTTTGAAATGCATATAATCTTGTTCTTTCTTCACTGATTTCTAATAAGAGTCATAAAACTTTAATAGCTCTGAATAATTTATATCTGTAATAAAACAATAATGTTGTTGCTTGCATACAGGTTTTGTAATAGATAACATGTGTACAGAAATGATGGTAGCTTGATAAATTTATTTTGCCAAGACGAACGCTTTAAAGTGCTGGAACTTTCCACAAATTTATACTCGTACAGCTCTTCTCGTACACAAATACTCGTACAGCTCTTCTGAGTGACACAGAGCACAATCAGTAGTTGCATTTCAAACTACTAAGAACATTAAACTCAGGTAAAGCTCTTATGGAGATCTCTAAATACTCTGAACTTGGACTGAACTAAACAACTCAGAAACTGGTGCACTTCCCGAATGCTGCCTATATGCAGTCAAGTCATAAATTTCAAACCCCTTATTTTACGGGGAAAGCTGAAATAGAAGGGATAATTCTGCTCGGAATCGTGAGACAATGTGGGGCTCATTTAAACATCTAACTTCTCTGCATTCAGTTTTATGCAAAGGAAAATACAAATTGAATTCTTCAAAAGAATGCAATTTTGTGCAATGAAAATGGATTATTGAACCATAAACTATACGGCAAATAACATCGCTTTTTAAAACCATTTCATGTTACATTATACTAAAAATACTACGGTTTTAAATATAACTTCACTAAAATTATTTGCATATGTATACCAAAATATATAACAGTGAAAACAACTGTGTTTATTAACAGTTGTCGTATGCGTTAAAAGTATTGTTTTTTTGTTATAAAAAATGAATTTAATCATATGTATGTTTTCAGAAAATCCTCTAAGCATATCATGGCATGATAGCTCTTGGATACCAATGCTGAATACAAATAATGTCATGGAATATTTTTCAGAGCGCACTAATCCTTTCTATGATCGAACATGCAATAATGAGAATTTGAAAATGCAGAGGCTTGGTCCTGAACATTTAAGGTATATGGATTTTTTATGTTAATAAAAATGCATGCATTTTATTAGTTATTAGTAATTTATAGTGCTTTTAAAAAAAATAATCCTTTAAATTTCAGCAACATGACAGGATTAGAATACTGCCTACTTCATGTACAAGAACCAATTTTGTATGTAATTAGGAAACAACATAGGATTTCTCCAAATCAAGGTAATTTAGTAAAATGCAGTGAAATTACTCTTAATCAGTAATTTCACTTTTTGTAACCAGAAATGTGGAATTTGAGAGGCCTTCATGTTTTTAATGAATAAAAATATGATAAACCCAAAAAATAAACTCAGCAGGTATTTATTTTGTTAGAACTAAATAAATTAAACATCTGCTAACTATTAAAGAGAATAAACTTCTTTACAAAGGCGAGTAAATATCTGTTTTCAAGTTTGGGATCCATATGCATGATACACAATATACTTGTATATGTGTGTGTGTGTAAAATTTACAAATTGATATTGTGAACATAAAGCAGCATTGATGCATAGAAATAATAGCTGTCATTCAGGCTGATAAAATACATGTTGTATCTTCAAGTGCTTTCTTAATTTGAATTAAAAACTGCAATATTACCACTTTTGATCACATTTTTTGCCTTTTTTGCATCATTATGTTGATACAACTTATGAAACAGATATAAGCAGCAACTTATTGCTTTGAAATTTTATGTAAGTATCTGTATCAGGAGTGCTGTGCAAGAATTTTTATGACATTAGTTAGTTTTGAAATGATGCAGTTTAGAGTGATTTATTAAATTAAAAAAATAGTTAAAACTAGTCTTCACTAGCAAGCCTTGGACTACGCCAGACTAATACCTAAACTTTAATATAGGATATGTGTTACTATGAAAAATTTTATTTAAAAAATAAATTAATATTTACTAGCAAGCTTCGGACTGCACTCAACTAATACCTAAACTTTTATTTACGATTTGTATTTTTATAAAAATATTTATTTATTAATTTTTTGAACAATTATCAGAATATAAAAGTAATAAATTCAAGAAAGGGTACTATTCCGTTTTAGGGACCGTAAAATGTTGCAACGAAAATATATGCACAAAAGTGCCAAATCTGGCAAATGCGCTCATTTAACAGCGCACCAAATCTTACGAACGTGACGAAGTGTATAAATTTAGATAGTTGCATATTTATAAGTCTCCATTGAAATACTAGGTTAATTTTTTAATTCTTTTCTAATAATGCTATGGATTTAACAATTTGGGAATTGCCCAATGAGGAAAAGCCTGCAAGAGAATGTTTTCGAAGAAAAGGCATCATTCACGATAGAAAAATATGTTCGAACAACCATGGGATGAAATTATGCTTTAGCGGTAAATCAGTAGTGAAATGGCAGTGCAGGAAAGAAATGGGTAATAAGGAGAAAGGATTAAGAAGTCAAAATTGGTTCGAAGGATCAAAAATCACCTTTCTTACAACCGTTAGGTTTATCTATTTTTGGTGTCTGGAGATGGCATTGAATTTTGTGAACTCCATCTGAAGAAGAACCACAATACAACTGTAGACTGGAACAGTTACATGCGTGAAGTGTGTGCCTCAACTTTATTTACTCGGTGTGATATATGGGTGACACCAACCAACAAGATGTATGAAGGGCGCTGGCTCTCAATCCAAAGGCGCCAAAAGTTTAGTTTCCAAGAGGGAGACCGATAGAAAGGTCACAGAAGGCTCGTGGGAGCCATTAATGAAACCAAAATTAACTTGTATTACTTTATTTATATGTTACAGTTTTAGAAGAAGTCTTGTAGTAGGTGTAGAAGTAACCTGTGTATAAGTATTGTGTTATGTATCTTTCAACTTCAGTGTCAGCAACGCCGCGGTGCACAATGAATTGGAAGTTGATCTCTCAGCACTATCCTTATCTTCAGAGCAGATATTTTTATTTTATTTGGCTTATAATTCCTTACTAAATGTAATATTTCATCTCGATGTACTCCTTCTTTGATATGATTTAAATCAAATTCCTCGTCATTATAATTAATTCACTTCCGATAGTGAAGAAAGTGACACAGAGGTTATTGAAAACGAAAACATTTCGATTGACAAATTAGTCGGTATTCTCAACACAGCATTTATAGGACTTGAACAGTGGAACTTTGTGACTGAACAAGAAATTATGTCTGTTTATAGAATTAAAAAGAAAGTATTATCACATAAAACGAAGCAACTTAAACAACTTACATTGAAAGAAATGTTTAATAAAGTAAACAAATAAATATTAAGCTTTTTTTTTCGTAAATTTTGATACCCTTTAGATCATAATTAATTTTTATTTCATAAATTACGGTTTCATATTTTTAATTTTATAATTTCTGCCTGCCTTCTTACCAGATTTAAACTGATGATCTATAATCTGGAAAAATCGATAATCCGGAATCGCTGAAGTCCCGACGAGTCCGGATTAACGACTTTTGACTGTACCTGTTTCATTTAAAAATATGAGTAAGTCAGTGAACTGCTGAATCATTTTTCTAGCTGACTTTGTGGCCTCTGAGCGTTGTACCTGATTGGTGTCATTGAACGCTGATAGTTCTAAAATGTATTAGTGTTGAAATGACGTCGTGAAAATTTTTAAGGAAGTTCATACAAATCGAGGGCAGTCACAGGTTCCTTGATCACTAACATATTTCCAATACTTTGGAGGAGGATGGGATGCTGACTACAAGTGATAAAACTGTTAGCAGCATTTGCAAATGTGACAGAGGGCACTGGCTGTGATATTTTTTTTAATATATTTTTTTTTTAGGTATATCATGAATTTTATTAGATTATAAATTTTACTGAAATTGCCCTCTTGGGCAGTATGACCAGGGCAGAAGCAGCATTCTTAAAAAAGATGCAGTTTCTTTTCATAAGTTGTCCAAATTTCAGAATTTGAAAATCTTTTTCATTCAGATGCTGGTGAACATTTTCAGTGCATGTACTAATGGGAAAACTCTCTGTACAACGTTTCGACTTTTTACTTAGGACTAGTAAGAAATCCCCTTATTATTAGGAGAGTAATTTTCCTGAAGTGTTAGTCATCAGCATGGATGATGAAATGATATTCTGCTTTCAATTTAACTCTAAAATTTATGTATTTGCAGAATCAAGAAGCTCTGAAAAGCATTAAAAGGAGCTCTATTTAAGCTCTATTAAGATGTATTTTGCATCTTTTATTATGAAGGGAAATTTTTTCATTTCAAGAATTTGAGCTGAAAATATCCAGAGTCCTAGTTTTGATTGGCTGACTGTGATCCTTTGTCTAATTCCTTGGTAGTGATTGGCTGCTGGATTTCAGTTGGTGTTTGAGGGGCAAAAGTAGGATTTTCTTCTAACTTAGGTGCATTAGGGATTAGCAATGAGTGATGAAGTTTCTTCAGGAGCTGGTGTACACATTTTCAGGTTTGGAGTAATAAGGGTGTCATTAGATATTTGGAATTCTGCTAGTCCTTTTTTTTATTGCTTAGAAGTTTTAAACTTTTAAATTTTCTTTTAGTACAGTCAAAAGTCGTTAATTCGGACACCCATAATCCGGAATGATCTATAATCCGGACCTCAAAGCTACAAACTTTCTGCGCATGCGTCGCGTGACTCATGCGCGTACGACCTTTACCGCTGCTAATTTGCGTGTGCGCGTGCGCAAAAATCGTTACGAATGCGCGTTTAATGTATAACGGACGGGATAAGCTAAGCTAAAATTATCTAATTATCTATTTCAGTTAATGTTGCAGATTGCGTTGTTCCTTAATCTTCGAATTGGATCCGGATTATTATTTTTGGCAGACTGTTAGAGCAATTTTATAAAAGTAAGCTTGAACTTTCGATTATGTCAAAGAATTTCCGATATATATTTACTAATATGTAAAGGATATACAAGCGAAAGTATCTTTCGGAGTCCATTAAACAAAAGGGAATTGCTGCAAAAAAGGATAAAGTTTATCTAAACTTTAACGTGTGTTTATCTAAACTTTGTTTATCTTAACGCTGCGGCGGCGAGCATGAATTGGAAGTTGATCTGTCAACACTATCCTTATCTTAAGGGCAGATGTTTTTATTTTATTGGCTTACAATGCTTACTCATGTAGTATTTCATCTCGTCTTTGATATGATTTAAATCAAATGCCTCGTCATTATAATTCGCTTTCCGATAGCGAAGAAGTGACAGAGGTTATTGAAAACGAAAAAATTTCGATTGAAAAATTAGTCGGTATTCTCGACACAGCAATTATATCACTTGAACAGCGGAACTTTGTAACTGAACAAGAAATTATGTCTGTTTATAGAATTAAGAGAATGTATTATAACATAAAAAACGAAGCAACTTAAACAACTACATTGAAAGAAATGTTTAATAAGTAAACAAATAAATATTAAGCTTTTTTTTTTGTAAATTTTGATACCCTTTAAATCATAATTGTTCTTTATTTCGTAAATTACGGTTTCATATTTTTAATTTTATAATTTCTGCATGCTATTTTACCAGATTTAAACTGATGATCTATAATCCGGAAAAATCGATAATCCGGGATCGCCGAAGTCCCGACGAGTCCGGATTAACGACTTTTGACTGTAGTACCATCTATCTGCATGGATATTAATGTTAATTGCTGCAAGTTAATTGCTGATGGCTGCTCCTTCTACACCAGAGATGTCAGTCACTGCAAGTTTGGGTTTGGAATCGTTGCTGTTGCATGGACTGCATGGTTATTTGACATTTGCAGATGCTGAAAGGGCAATAAATCCCATTTCAGTCAGATCTGTGTCGGTTGGTTTTGAAGGAAATGAATTCAGGAACTGATTTACAGTCATGGGGGAAATTCTCATTTTGACATAAACTTCTCTTATGCAAGAGGAACAGTGGATGGTAAAAATAAGTCACTCTCTTTGTCAGGAGATAGATTGTGACTTGATGGGCTGCTGAAATTCTGACATCACTTAGCATGCAATTTAGCCTATGATTGCAGTAAGAGTTGAGAAAGTTAGCAAGAGTAATTGATAGGTTAAAAGAGATCTGATTTAGTGTATGAGACACTAATGGCAATTTGCAAATAAAGGTGAGACATTCTGGAGGGAAGAGATGTTCACACTCTGTGCCACAAGCCTGATTGAAATTAGTGAACATCGGTAATTTCTGGAAATTGTAAAAAATTGCTTTGAAGTGCATGTGCTGTTGCAACTATAAAAATCATGTTCGAATGAAATATTTTTCTCTTTTTATAATTCAACTAAGCATTAGCAGTAGTATTGTTTGAACTGGGATGATTATCAAGATAAATAACTAACTTGTAATACTAATCACATTTAATGTTAGAAAGCAATACGCGGGTATTTTAAAATCACATTTTTTCCTTGGGAAACAATTTTTGTTGGTAAAATATTTGTTCCCTTTGATTATTTAGACATGGTTCTGATTCACCTTTATTATTTGAATATTTATTTACATACGTTATTAAAATATTTATGTATTTTAAACTAAATTAACAAAATATATTTTAAATTACCATTAACTAAATAATTTTTTAAAGAAAATCTTAGAAACATACTCCCACACTTGGGGAAAAAAAGTAGGAAAGTATTTTATGTAATATCTTTTCTTTCATTTTAGTTACTCCAATTGCAGACTATTATATTTTAGCTGGTGTTGTGTATCAGGCACCTGACCTAGCTTCAGTAATTGGTTCCCGAATGGTAATTAAAAAAAATCTTAGTTTTTTAAATTTTGTTTTATTCTTCATTCATCTTTACGTGATATTATTAAGTGAATGAAACAGACACAAAAGTTTTATGAGTGATTTTGCTGTTTATTGTTGCATCATTAATTTTTTTCTTGTTTACATTCAAAGCAATCATGTCATTTTTTAACCCTTTCCGAGTGAAAGATGCATATGCACTGTTAGGATGAACTTTTTTATTTCAAGCGTCTGTCCTGTTACAAAGGGTTATTTATTACTAAGCTAAAATCCAAGAAATTAAAGAAAGATGAGCTTATTGTTTAAAGAATCTGAAAGTTTTCAGATTTTTATATTACACCCAAAAGGGCTTTTTTTTTAATTATGCCCAAAGGGGTTTTATGGTTTAATATGGTTTATATCTTTGTTTAATAAATATCATGGTCTTTGAACTTAAAACATAAAATTCAATTCAGCAGAATATCGCAAAATAATTAAAAAAGAGCATATGTTTAGAATTTCCGATACACTGTCTCGCACACTAGAGATAAAAATGTTTTTTATTCCCGTACAGTGTTGCTATTGCTCGCTTTGAAATCATTGATTTTCTTAATAAAAAACTCATAAATGCTTTACAAAATATGAGATAGATAATGAAACAAATTCCAAATTTGGGCTTCCAGATGCCCATATTCGGGTGGAGACGTACGTTATTCAAAATTTGATGGCTCTAGGTACTGTTGTTTTATCACAATGCGAGAAACATACATACATTTATGCAGATTCTTTATTATTTAATTTATTTAAATATAATACAGGGAGTTAATATTTGGTGGCAACAATTTGAAAGTGAAATACTGTTTATAGTGAATTGCCATCGAATAAGAAATTAATATCCCTTCTGGGCTAACGCTTTTTGGGCTAATAATAGTTGTAGAATATGTATGGAATATATGCTTTGTATATTTTTTATTTGCACATTTAAGTTATTTTTTATTTAAATACTTTTATCTTGCACATTAGTTTTTTTTTTTTTTTTTCTTCCCCCCAAGTATTTACCTCTGAGTTAGTGACTTTTCACTTTATACAATTGACAACAAACATTTTACTAAAAATTTATTTTTAGTGTGATAAATCTCAAAGCAGGTACCTATACACAATCCTATGCTACAATCCTTGTATTCATAATAGCTCATTTTCCTTTTTGGCGGAATTTTGCAGGAGTTTGAACAAACAAAGCATCATTATCGCATTTTCTTAGAACTTTCATTTGAACAAAGTACTTCCTGTTTATCTTTAAAAGCAGTTAAAAAAATTTGTAATTTCATCTTAGTATCTTTCTTTGTGATTTGAAGTCAGATATTCATCTACAATAGATCCCAGGGCACTGTGACATCATAGGAAATTAACAGGCAGATAGACTCACAAAGGGAGGATGTTCCGTGTCTCAGCTAAGGCACCACCTAACGTACAGAATGATATACAGCAAAATTACATGAACAGTCAAGAAGAGCATGGACAATGCAGGCAAGGTAGTGGACGATGCGTACAGAGCATGTTGGTAAAAGAGGAGACACAATAATAACGAGAACCATCTCCAACAATCTGTCTTGAGACATTACCGTGGCCATCTTCAGCCTGATCACAGGCCATGACTACCTCCAGAGCCATTTCTACAAAATTGGCATTGTCATTTCCCATATGCCCCCTGTGTAACTCAGGAGAAGGGGATGTGGTTATCTGCACACCTACAATATTGTGGAGGTAGAAACCCGAGGAGATACAATGGAAGGCAGGCACATCTATACCGGATGGCATGACATCAAATGGCTAACCTACCAAAGAGAGGCGTTGGCTGAAGAAGAAAATGTAATTCTAATTTGCAACAAAATGCTCTGTCACACCGTCATGCAAGCTTGAAGTGAGTTTGCTTTGTGATGACAAGTCTGTGTGACAGTGTCTGCAAATGTATTTATTAGCATTTCAATATGATCTTGGTAATTAAGGTCATAAAGCAGTGATGCAGCATGCATTCGTTTCTTATAAATGAGATCATATTTTGTTTTAATATAGGTAAAGATCTGAATAAACTTTTAAATCAGTGGACAAAATGCTTTATTTCAATAATACATGATCTTTACAAAAGTTTATTATTTAAAGTAACTTATTAAAAAATTACAATGAAAGAAAGATGTTATGATGAAACTTGAAGATGCTTATAAAGCATGAAATTTTCTACCAGCATTCCATATGGCATCTTCTCAGAGATGACAGTTATAATCTCCTGTTTGACTATACTTTTTTTGATGCCACAATTGGATGAAGAGAAATGGCAACTTTGTTCAGTATTTCATTATTATTATGCTTCCCCGACCTGTGCATGAACAAATTTTATGTATTTGCTTGTTTTTAATAATTAGATTTGATGATGACTTCTCTCAGTCACTAGTTGTATTTTTACAATGGCTGAGTTGTTTCTCAAACCGTTTGATCAATGTCACTTCATCTTCCAATGTAAATCACTGCGCTGTTACAAACAGTACTCTGTCTGAAGCCACTGAACAACTTCTCAGAAAGCAAACTTTTTCTTCATTTGTATTTTTAATATTGCATTTCCAAATGCTTTCATTTACATGTAGTTTTATTTAATGGCTTATTTTGTGTATTTGAATGGAAGGTAAAATAAGACATTTTTTTTTTTAAGTACTTTCTTCACTATCACATAACAACATCATCCTTACTCCTTCCTCAACATTTTTAACATTGTTTTTTTTAAAAAAAATAAAAATACATTAACATATGGAATACTCAGAGCTCGTGGTATGATAATTATGAGCGATCATGAATTTTTTATATTTATATGGGGAGAAAAAAGAAAAATACATGTGGTTTACTTGGAGCTCTTCTAGTCATGGGCAAACTCTATATGATCATAAATGTAGGAATATATAAGCTATAAATATATTTCTGTTCATGATTTGAAGATGGTTTATGTTGGGGATTTATTTGATAATCTTGCTTGCATTTACAAAACAGAGGCTGTAATAATAAGGAATTACCCTTTGTTCTTCAATTGGATTGAATACCAATACATGTCAATATAAAGGAATATTATGATAAAATTCTTCCTGGGAGATGAGTAATGGGCTGCCAAGTATAATGTGCCACTTGTTGTTTGGCTATTAAAATGTCCTTGATTTAACTTCTTATGACTTTTATCTTCGGGTGTACATGTATACATGAAAAATAAATTAAAGACCGTATGCATGTGAAAAGGCAATAACTCTTAACATTGACAGTTAGCCAGGCCACATGAAATGGTTGTTTCATTTCTGTTAAAAAAAAATGAAGAGGAATTTTTAATAAAGACATAAAATTTCTTCTGGTATTTGTTATTTGATTTGTTACGTTATATCATATTTAATTATTTAATTTCAAATTTCTGCAAGATTCATTGCTTATAAATTGATGTTATTTAGTATGATCACCCTTTTCTTTGGGTTTTGATTTTTGTAGATTGTCATTCTTGCGTTGATTTAGTCTAATAATTGATTGAATTAAATTATTAGTTTTTACACTTTTTGTTGCTTATGTACCCATGTCAGCTTATGAAAAATATTATTTTAAAATTTATTATGCTACTTTTCATGCTTTATTTATTTCCTCTTTATTCAATCTTTTATTTTACTTGTATATATTAAGAAATTGATGTCATATTATTTAAGTATCCATTTTCAGTGAAACTGAATTGTATATAATGTTATCAGGAAGTTTCTAAAGAAATATCAGAGTAAATTTCTTAAGAAATTAAAAAGTTGATATCTACATTAAATTTTTCAATTAGGGCCACATAATTTATCTTTTCTTTACTGCTTCATTTATCAAATTTTAGATGTTATTGCAAGTTTTACAAGCCTTACAGAAACATTTTTGTAATCTTTATACTCGGAGCATTTTTGCAATGTTTGTAAGATTTTAAATATTCTGCCTATACTGATGGATAGCAATGATTTTCATGAAAACAACTGATCAATATTGCCATTTTTTAACATTTTAGTTAAAAAATCATTTAGAATACTAGACACTTAGACATTTTGTATGTGTTTGGTATTTGATTTATATGTATGTATATCCAGTTATTAGATGGTTTTTGTATATTTTCATGCTTCTGTTTGTTGTTATTTTATTAAATTTTTATTCATTTATATTTTAGCTGACTATGGTTCATCATCTTCAGTCTGCATTTGATGAAGGTAATAATTAAGAATATGATTATTAGTGGTTTATATGCTTATCTAAAGCTCTACCTCTTGTTAATCATTTTCATAAAACTGAGTTGAAAGTATTTTTATTTATGTTAACGTAAGTTTAAAAGTATAAGTAGAATTGTAGTCAGTGTACAAAATACATTAAAAAAATAAAATTATTTAAATTCATAAGTAATTTATTTTACTCAATTAGTAATTTATTTTATGAAATAATAATACAACTTATACATTTATGAAAAAATATTCAGAAATTCATGGTTTAGATGAAAGTTTGTTTCATAATGATTTAGTCTGAACTTTAATACCTACTGGTTGTTCAAAGTTTCGATTCCAAAATTTAAAATTATGAATTGTCTGAAATATTGTGTAACTTTCTGTGTCATTATTTTTATGTAAGAGTCGTGACAGCTTTTAATTTTGAAACGATGCCGTTTAAAGAGGTTTATGATAAACAGTTGCTACCTTTAGGGCAGAAAGGGAAAGTACCCTAATGAAAAGGAAATGTTAAGAGGACTGTTTCAAATTAAAGCTATAGGTAATGTCATACACCACATATAATTAAATTGCTACATGAATTTTTATCTTTTATTGGTCTATTTTAATTTAAAATAATACTGTCTTGGAAGATATTTTAATTTAAAGTAATATTGTCTTGGAAGCTTTTTCAACACTGTGTAAATAGTAACAGTGTTTGAAGAAGAATTTTTTTTAATGTCTGCGAAATCTGTAAAATAGAAATAAAGTGTATGTTTTAAAAATATACCTAGAGATCAGTGATTCTCATTTCAAATATCTTTCAATATAAAATTAAAACGACATATTGACTAAATATGGTGAAGAAATGTCATGGTATGTGTAGGAAGATTTTTTATTTGTTTTATCACTATTACCAAAATTATTTTTCCTTCAAAGAATAGTTATATATTTTATGTATGATATTTACTTTCTTAATTGAATATAAAAGTAATGATTTATTTTTTTCCAAAATAAATTACTATTTGTCAATAAAAATTTTTAGTTTAAAAGTGTGATACTGGTTAGTTGTATGTAGGATTTTTTCATGTAAGGGAGTGAGTGCAAACTTTGGTATTGAAGTGTTATGCATTATCAAAGGGCTGATATATCTCACACTAGCCATTTTCATTGCCTTTTCCAAAAGCAGGATATCGAATATTGGTGAAAATTAAATAAATTTATATAGCAAATCTGAAATTTTTACAAGATTTCAATCTGTGAAAACACATGATCATCTCTGTAGTTTCTTGCCTGTTTATTCTCAAGGTATTTGATGTAAACAGTTTCAGATTAAGATCATTTATATGACTCAGTGGTGTATGCCCTCCCTGTAAGTTGCATATTTGCATCTTTCCCCCTTCCGATTGGAACAATTTCAACACCGAGTAGTGTCATAATAATAAAAATAAGCCAAACTAGTATGATAAGATGTGTACTAATTGCTTGAGATATATATTAGATTTATATATAGCACTATTCCATATCTTTATTTTATTTTTTTTTGCTATTATTTGCATTGAGCTATCAAAATTGGCAGTTTGAAAGCTAACAGGAGGCAAAACAACAGGAACTTATGCAGCCTTTGCAGTGCTCCTGCATTTATATAAGTAAATATTAAATTTTTAAGTTCTGATTTATCGAATTAAAAATAATTTGAGGAACTGGCTGAATCCCATTATTATTCTCATCTTTTATAAATGAATTCGCCAGTACTTCAGTGTGCAAACAAAATAGACTAAACTAACTAATGGCTACTAGTTATACTACAACCAATGGAGGAAATAAGTTTAATAGATTTTTCTATAAAAAACCTGCCTCTAGAATCTTGAAAATGTAGGTACTTTTCTGTTGATTTCTGTTTATCTGAATTTTTCTTTTCTATTAATTCTGCCAATGTTTATGTTTCGCACTTGGCACCAAGCATAAACATTAATGCGGAATCTAACTAAATGGTAACAACCCTAATGATATGTTACGTTTCATGAAAAGAATGACCATTTTATTAAATCAATAATAAATACAAAAATAAAAAAAATTGATTACAAAATAGATTTTACAAGATAATTTTCAGATCGCACAGGTGGTATAAAACTGCCAGTTCATTTCACATTGCTGTAAACATTTGCAGCTTTTAATGCAATCCTGGATTTTGAATTTGTGACCTCATTAATTCAATGAAATAAAATACTAGACACTTTCAGCTAGTGCCACTCGGATGTTTGTTTTGCCATTTTGCGTATGGTATCCCACATTAGAATTCAGGCATTATATTTGTCGTTAATTTGTAGATATTCATACTCAGAAGCAGCCGGTTCATCTACACAGCTGAAAATGTAGGAGAGAAAATTCTTACATTAATGTTCATTTTACCCATTTATTTGCAACAATATCATTGCACAGTTGTACATTGCTTCCCCCCCCAGGAGGAGAGGGGAAAGACAGTTCTATATCTCCCGTTCTACTGGGCCAATTCACGAAATTCAAATTGCATTCTTCACGTCTCGAAAACGTGACTTGAGATATATATTAGATTTATATATAGCACTATTCTAACGTAGGTATTT